GTCCGCGATACGTCCGCGGACAAGCTCTCCTCCCGCACGCTTCCCTGTGTCTTCCTTGGCTTTGTCCCTGACGCGCCTGGCTGGCAGTTTTACCACCCCACCTCGCGCCGGGTCTTCGCCTCTCAGGATGTCACCTTTGACGAGTCGGTCCCCTTTTACCGTCTCTTCCCCTACCGCACTGCCCCCCTCCCTCCCCCGCCGCTTTTCCTTGCTCCTGGTCCCCCTCCGGTAGACCCCCTTCCCCCTCAGGGTCCTGCTCCTTCAGGTGTCTCTCAGGTAGACCCTCCTCCCGTCGCTGAGCCTGTCGAGGTCACAGGTGACTCAGGTGCTGCTGCGGGTGGTGCTGCTGGGAGTGCTGAGCCTGGGGGTGCTGAGCCTGCGGGTGCGGGGCCTGGGAGTGCTGGGACTGCGGGTGCTGGAGCTGAGGGTACTGTGCCTGAGAGTTTGCCGCCTGGGGGTGCTGAGCCTGGGGGTGCTGCGACTGGGGGTGCTGAGCCTGCGGGTACTGAGCCTGCGGGTACTGAGCCTGGGGGTGCTGCTACTGAGCCTACGGAGCCTCGGGTTACTGCGTCTGGGGGTGCTCCGGTTCGGGGTGCTGAGCAGTCTCTCACACCGCAGCAGCTTCGTGACTGGTACGTCCGACGCTTTCGCCGTCCTAGTGGCTCGGCTGGAGTTGGGGGTGCTGGAGCTGCTCGTCCTGGGGGTGCTCGTACTGGGGGTACTGGAGCTGCCGGGACTGGCTGTTCTGGGAGCACTGCGACTGGAGCTGCTGGAGCTGGGGACTCTGGCGCTGGCGGTGCTAGCGGAGTTGGAGCTGCCGACTCTGGGGGTGGCGCTGCTGCTGGTGCTGCGGACCCACCTGGTGGAGCTGCTGCTGGTGCTGAGGAGTCGGACGGTGGAGCTGCTGCTGGAGCTGGGGACCCGAGCGGTGGAGCTGCTGCTGGTGCTGTGGACCCGGACGCTGGAGCTCCTACTGGTGCTGAGGACCCGGCCGCTGGAGTCCCTTCTGCTTCTGGAGACGCTGCGCGGCCGCGACCGTACTTCGTACCGCTCCTTCAGCAGGTTCTTGGGCAGGCTCCTCCTCCTTGTCCTCCTCCCTCCGTAGAGTGTCCTCCGCCTGTCCAGCCGCAGTCACAGTTACCGCCTGCCTCGCCTCTCCCTGCTCCCTCTCCTTATACTGGTCCCACAGGAGGTCTTACAGAGCGTCGTGAGCCTGAGTCTCGTCCTGCGTCGCCTGTTCGTCCTGCTCGCACTGGTAGTCGTGTCCGTCGTGAGCGTCCTCCTCCTGTCCCAGGCACTCACTACATGACTCTGCGTCCCTCTACTGCTCCTCAGCGTGTCCCTCTACCGTCTCCTCCTGCGTCCTCTTTGCCTGCCGTTCCGGACCCTGAGTCTGACCGGTATCGCGCTGAGCACCCTACAGTCACGCGTCTCCTCGCTACTGTTGTCACTGACCCTACCTTTGAGTCCTCGGCTGCGTCTGCTCTGGTCGCTGAGTTGGTTGACTTTGCTGCTGCCTGTCGTCTAGACTACGCTGCTAGCCTTGTTGCTGAGTCAGAGTCTGCGTCTGTCTGTCCTCCGTCCGTCGGGGGTGAGTGTGCTCTTGGCACGGACGTCCTTGAGGACAGGCAGGAGGACTTTGACTCTCTTGCGGCTGCTGTACCTCATCTCGTGGCCTGGTTGCTTGCCCCTGAGGGAGACCCGGATGCACTAGACATCCCCACTCCGCGCACTTACGCAGAGGCGATCTCGGGTCCCTACTCCTCTCAGTGGCAGACAGCCATGGACGCAGAGATGGCATCCTGGAAGTCCACAGGCACCTACGTCGACGAGGTTTCCCCTCCTGGGGCGAACATCGTCGATGGCATGTGGATTTTCAGGGTGAAGCGGCCGCCAGGTTCTCCGCCTGTCTTCAAGGCTCGTTACGTTGCTAGAGGCTTCAGTCAGCGTCAGGGGGTCGACTTCTTCCAGACCTTCTCCCCCACCCCGAAGATGACCACTCTTCGGGTTCTGCTGCACGTTGCTGCTCAGCGTGACTACGAGCTTCACTCTCTTGACTTCAGCACAGCGTTCCTGCAGGGCAGCCTGCACGAGGAGATCTGGCTGCGCCGCCCACCTGGCTTTACTGGGTCGTTTCCCCCTGGTACCCAGTGGAGTCTCCGCCGGCCAGTCTACGGTCTCCGCCAGGCGCCACGTGAGTGGCACGACACACTGAGGACTACTCTTGCGGCTCTTGGGTTCGCGCCGTCTACTGCTGACCCGTCGCTGTTTCTGCGCACAGACACGTCGCTGCCGCCGTTCTACATTCTCGTGTACGTCGACGACTTGGTCTTTGCTACTGCTGACACTGAGGCACTCGCTCGTGTGAAGTCGGAGCTGCAAAAGAGACACACCTGCACTGACCTGGGTGAACTGCGTAGCTACCTTGGCTTGCAGATCACCCGGGACAGAGCTCGCCGCACCATCACCCTGACTCAGTCACACATGGTGCAGCAGGTCCTTCAGCGCTTCGGCTTCCAGTTCTCCTCACCACAGGCCACACCTCTGGCTACCAGCCACTCGCTCTCAGCTCCACCTTCGGACGAGTCCGTAGAGCCGAGTGGCCCGTACCCAGAGCTTGTAGGCTGCCTCATGTACCTGATGACTTGCACGCGACCTGACCTCGCGTACCCTCTTAGCATCCTTGCTCGTTACGTTGCGCCTGGGAGACACAGGCGAGAGCACTGGGAGGCTGCTAAGAGGGTGCTGCGTTACCTGTGCAGTACATCAGGCATGGGGCTGGTGCTTGGAGGACGCGACAGAGTTGTCCTCACTGGTCACTCGGACGCCTCTTGGGTGGACGACCTGGCTACGCAGCGGTCGTCACAGGGTTACACCTTCAGCCTTGGCTCAGGTTCTGTCTCGTGGCGGTCCACCCGCTCTTCCTCTGTTCTCGGCTCTAGTTGTGAGGCTGAGATCTACGCCACAGCCATGGCTGCACAGGAGTTACGCTGGCTCACCTACCTGCTGACTGACTTGGGAGAGCGGCCTAGTTCTCCTCCAGTTCTGTACGGTGACAACAAGGCGGCTCTTGCCTTGTGTCAGGAGCACAGACTGGAGCACAGGACGAAGCACATTGCTCTTCGCTACTTTCTTGCTCGAGAGCTTCAGCAGCGCGGTCAGCTTCGGCTTGTGTACGTGGACTCGAAGGCCAACACTGCTGATATCTTCACCAAGGCGCTCCCGCCTAGTGATCATCAGCGGCACTGTACTTCTTTAGGCCTTGTGTCCACGTTTCCTCACTTGCTCACTGCTTGACATTCTTTGTACTGTACTTTATATATATCTTGTTGCTTGCTTGCTAGGTTTTGATCACTGTGTTGCTTGTCTTGTACTATATCTAGCACTGCATGTGAACTGGCCTTGTGGCCTTTACTTGTGCTCGGAGTGTGGTGACGTTGTGATCCACCCTGGGCGTTGCTTTGCTTTGCTGGACTGGTCTTGTGACCCTTTGTTCTCCCCCACTTTGCCTATGGGGGTGTGTTAAACTGTAGTATGCTTGTAGGCTGTAGTGGGGTAGCCAATATGGGGTACAACCCCAACTAGGGTTTCATATTTGTACCCAAACTTCTGCTAGTTCATCATTCTTGCCTAGTGATTCTGACATAAGTATGCTACTTACCTATACGATTGTTATCAAGAGTAAGAATGTTACATATCCGTATGGTTAGTATCAATAGTAAGTGAGTAACTTACCCATACGGTTGGTACTAGGAGTAAGTGTGTTACGTACCTATATTGTTGGTACTCGGAGTAAATGCGATCCTTACAAATGTGATTGGTACCAAGAGCAAGTTCGTTACTTACCCATATAGTTCGTACCAAGAGTAAGTGCTTTAAATACGCATATGGTTGGTATCAAGAGTAAGTGCTTTACATTCCCACATGGTTGGTTTAGGAGTATGTGCGTTACTTTCCCATATAGTTGGTACCAAAAGAAAATGAGGGAATTTCCCATATTATTGTTACCATGATTAATTACGTTGATTAACTATATGGTTAGTACCAAGAGAAAGTATTTTACGTATTCGCGTAATTGGTATCCAGAGTAAGTACGTTACTTACCCATATGGTTGGTACCAACAGTAAGTGCATTAATTATCCATGTGGTTGGTACCAATAGTAATTGCGTTACTTATCCATGTGTTTGGTACCAAGTGTAAGTGCCTTACTTTTCCATGTAGACGGTACCAAGAAATTTTGCGTTACTTAACCATATGGTTGGTACGCAATACCATGTGCGTCACTTATTTATATGGTTGGTACCAAGAGTAAGCAAGTTACTTTTCAGGTTGGCATAATGAGTAAGTGCGTTATTTGTCAAATTATATGTTTCATATTATTTAGTTCTAGGTTGTGTAGGGGTGATTCTTAGAGGGTACAACAATTCTCTCGATACTCTTGTACCCCCTCCCCTAACCTAATCGACATACTTTCCTCTCTAGTCTTGACATGGTATAGAGCAGGAAGTTTCCTAGGGCCCACCACGGAAAACGAATTTTTTTTTTCCTGCCCGGAGCGCGCTTCGCGCCTACCCTAGTCGCGCCCCGTGCGCCTGTCCCTAACCGCCCGTCGCGGCCCCTCTCTTAACGTCCTCTCGCGGCCCCTCGTTGGCCCCTCGCGACCCCCGCTTACGGCCCCTTAGCGGCCCCCCTTTTCGCGGCCTCGTCGCCCTCCCCCCCTGCGCGGCTCTGTCGCCGCCCTTTCGCGACCTCGTCGCCGCCCCTACGCGGCTTCGTCGTCGCCCCTACGCGGCCTCGTCGCCGCCCATACGCGACTCCGTCGCCGCCCTCCCCTTCGCGGCTCTGTTGCCGCCTCTTCGCGGCTTCGTCGCCGCCCCTCGCCACTCTTCGCGGCCCCTCCAGGACCCGTCGCGGTCCCCTTCCCTCTCGTCTGCAGCAGCTGTCGCCGCTGAGCCTGCAGCAGCTACCGCCGCTGACCCTCAGCAGCTGCCGCCGCAGAGCCTACAGCAGCAGCCGCGGCCGGACCTGCAGTAACTCCCGCCGACCCTGCAGCAGCAGCTGCCGCCGACCCTGCAGCAGCAGCCGCCGCCGAGCCTACAGCAGCGGCCGCCGCCGACCCTGCAGCAGCTGCCGTCGCCGAGCCAGCAGCAGCAGCCGCCGCCGCCAGCAGCTGCAGCCGCCGAGCCTGCAGCAGCAGCCGCCGTTCGAGAATACCACAGCAGCCGCCGCCGTCCCTGCAGCAGCGGCCGTTCCCAGCAGCAGCTGCCGCCGCCGCCGCCGTCACTGCCCCGGCCCTGCCCTGCTAGAGCCGCACTGCCCTGCCCTACCGCGCTACTGCTGCTGCTGTCACTGCTACTGATGCTACTACTGTTCCTCCTACTGCTACTATGGCTAGCCCTCCTGTGCTTGCCATCGATGCTGAGGGCCGCCCAGTGAAGTTTGACACCTGGCTAGATGACCTGCACCTCTTCCTACAGCTCACTGCCAAGGAGGACATTTCACTGTACGATCACGCCCTAGGCCATGCTACTGCCCCTGACACTACTGCTGACAGCACTCTGCGCTCCCAGTGGCAGACCCGTGACGCGCACGCTCGCTTCGCTATTCGCAACTCCCTACCGCTAGATGAGCGCGAGCACTTCGGCCAGTGCAAGACTGCTAAGGAACTGTACACAGCCGTAGTTGCTCGTTACTCCTCACCTGCGTCTGCCGCACTAGGCCGCCTCTCACTGCCCTACCTGTTCCCCGACCTGGCCTCCTTTCACACTGTTGCTGACCTCATCACCCACCTCAAGACTAGTGAGGCCCGCTTTCGCGCTGCTATGCCTGCCGAGCTCCTTGCTAGCAACCCCCCCCGCTCTGGCTCACTCTCTACCACATTGTCACCCGCCTCCCTGACTCTCTGCGCACAGTCAGGGATTCCTTTCTAGCTCGCTCCCCTACTGAGCTCACCATTGCCCTCCTCGAGAAGGACCTACTTGCAGCTGAGGCGAGCATCGTCGCCGTAGGTGCCTCTCGTGGCGAGCCCCGCACCCCCTTCTTTGAGGGGTGTTCCCCTTCCCCCCTTCTCCCCTCTGTCGCCTCTGCTTGTGCTTTCGACCTCCTTGGTGCTGAGAAGGTCGGGACCGCGTCTGCTTCGAGCGGGCGCCGCAGGACCAAAGGAGGCAAGGGTGGAGGTGGCGGCGGGGGAGGCGGGGGTGGAGGCGGTGGGAGTGGAGGAGGGGCTGGAGAGACTAGTGGCGGCAGTGGGGGTAGTGACGGCAGCGGCGGAGGCGGTGGCAGGGGCGGGGGCGGCAGCGGGGGCGGCGGTGGTCGTGGCAGCGGCAGGGGAGGGGGTGGTCGAGGAGGTGGCAGCGGCGGTGGTGGTCGTGGAGGCGCTGGCGGTGGTCCGAGCCAGCAGCACACTCCGTCGCTCCAGGAGGCCCGTGAGTGGTATGCGCAGCGTGGGGGGGCGGGTGGCCTTAGCTGCACGTACGTCATCCGCACTGGTGACCGCGCTGGTCAGACGTGTGGGAAGCCGCACCCCACGCCGCGCTGTTTCGCGCGCCTTGACGACGCTTGGCGCACTCAGTTCCCTGACGGCAATGAGCTGCCCCGCTGGTTTGATCTGGAGAAGAAGGGAGTTGATATCTGGGCTTTAGACTTTGATGCTATTCTCACTGCCATGTATGCTATGTTTACTAGTGGAGAGGGTGCTCAGTACTTGCGTGTTCCGCCCGACCCGGGCATTCTGACCAGTGAGGCTGCTGCTCTAGGTGCTAGTGCGTCTGCAGCTCCAGGTGCTCGCGTGTCTGCTACCCCCGGTGATGGTGAGGCTGCCACTCTAGGTGCTGGTGAGTCTGTCTCCCCTGGTACTGAGTCGACTGCGGCACTGCACACCTTCACACTGGACTCAGGTGCTTCTCGCTGTTTCTTTCGAGATCGCACTGCCCTTGAGCCACTCGCTCGGCCAGTTGCTGTCTCCCTCGCTGACCCCTCTGGGGGTCCGGTCATTGCGACCTCCTCCACTGTTCTTCCCTGTCCTGCGGTCCCGTCTGGCACACTGTCTGGTCTCTACCTCCCCTCGTTCTCTACGAACTTGGTGGCGGGTAGTGCGCTCCAGGACGGGGGTGTTCACCAGTTCACCCCTGCCTACGAGCGCGTGACACACTGCACGTGTGCTCGGACGGGCCGTCACCTGGCTACCTTCACTCGGGAGCCGGGGTCGGACCTGTACACACTGACCACTGAGTCCCCTCAGGTAGCTGTGTCTGCGTCTGCGTCTGCGTCAGGTCAGCTGTCCGCCCCCTGCTCGTGTCGCTCTCTGGCGCATGAGACTGTCCTCTGGCACCACCGCCTTGGTCACCCGTCTATGCACAAACGGGACCTTGTTGCTGGTCTTCCCAGGGTTCTCCCTCCCCTCCCACCCTCGCCTGCTCCTCCCTGTCTTCCCTGTGTCGAGGGGCGGCAGCGCGCCGCTCCTCACTCCTCCTCCTTTCCCCTGACGACTGCTCCTTTGCAGACGCTCCACTTGGACGTGTGGGGCCCAGCCCGCGTCCGTGGACAGGGTCAGGAGAGGTACTTCCTGATTGTTGTTGACGACTTCTCGCGCTACACCACGGTCTTCCCCTTGCGCACCAAGGGTGACGTCCCTGATGTCTTGATCCCTTGGATCCGCAGATCTCGTCTCCAGCTCAGCAAGCATTTCCACTCCAACTTTCCTGTCCTGCGTCTGCACTCTGACAGAGGTGGGGAGTTTTCCTCCGGCCTCTTGGAGGCCTTCTGTCAGCAGGAGGGCATTGAGCAGTCGTTCACGCTTCCGGCCTCTCCACAGCAGAATGGGGTTGCTGAGCGCCGCATTGGCTTGGTCATGGAGGTCGCTCGTACCTCCTTGGTTCATGCGGCTGCCCCCCATTTTCTGTGGCCGTTTGCAGTCCGATACGCTGCGCATCAGCTCAACCTCTGGCCCCGAGTCTCCCTCCCGGAGACTTCTCCGACACTGCGTTGGACGGGAGAGGCTGGCGATGCGTCGCGTTTTCGGGTCTGGGGATCCCGAGCTTTTGTTCGCGACACGTCCACGGACAAGCTCTCCCGTCGCGCTGTCCCCTGTGTCTTCCTTGGCTTTGTCCCGGACGCCCCTGGCTGGCAGTTCTACCACGCCACCTCGCGTCGTGTCCTGGCCTCTCAGGACGTCACTTTTGACGAGTCCGTCCCCTACTACCGCCTCTTCCCCTACCGCACTGCCCCACTCCCCCCCCCCGCCTCTCTTCCTCGCTCCAGGTGCTGAGGTACCAGACCCCCTCCCCCCTCAGGGTGCCGCTCCCTCAGGTGTGTCCCAGGTAGACCCGGGTGAGCCTGTCGAGGTAGCTGTCGACTCTCGTCCTGCTAGGGGTGCTGAGCCTGGGGGTGCTGAGCCTGGGGGTGCTGCGTCTGGGGGTGCTGAGTCTGGGGGTGCTGAGTCTGGGGGTGCTGAGCCTGAGCGTACTACACCTGGAGGAGCCCTCTCCTCCCGGCAGCTGCAGGAGAGGTACCTACAGTACTGCCGCCTCCGGAGAGGTACTACTGGAGCTCGTACCAGTACTTCCCCTCCTGCCCAGGAGCTCCCCCCCATTCAGCAGATCCGAGAGTGGTACACGCGGCGCTGCAGTCTTCGGAGTGGTGCTCCTGGTGCTGCGGACCCTGGGGTTGGCGCTGCTACTGGTGCTGAGGACCCGGGCGTTGGAGCTGCTGCTGGTACTGCGGACCCGAGCGGTGGAGCTGCTGCTGGTGCTGAGGACCCGGGCGTTGGAGCTGCTGCTGGTGCTGCGGACCCGAGTGGTGGCGCTGCTGCTGGTGCTGAGGACCCGGACGGTGGAGCTGCTACTGGTGCTGAGGACCCGGGCGGTGGAGCTGCTGCTGGTGCTGAGGACCCGAGCGGTGGAGCTGCTGCTGGTGCTGAGGACCCGGACGGTGGAGCTGCTGCTGGTGCTGAGGACCTCGCCACTGGTGTCTCTGCTGGTTCTGGAGACGCTGCGCGGCCGCGACCGTACTTCGTACCACTTCTTCAGCAGGTTCTTGGTCAGGCTCCTCCTCCTTGTCCTCCTCCCTCCGTAGAGTGTCCTCCGCCTGTCCAGCCTCAGTCACAGTTACCGCCTGCCTCGCCTCTTCCTGCTCCCTCTCCTTACACTGGTCCCACAGGAGGTCTTACAGAGCGTCGTGAGCCTGCGTCTCGTCCTGCGTCGCCTGTTCGTACTGCTCGCACTGGTCGTCGTGTCCCACGTGAGCGTCCTCCTCCTGTCCCTGGCACTCACTACATGACTCTGCGTCCCTCTACTGCTCCTCAGCGTGTCCCTCTGCCGTCTCCTCCTGCGTCCTCTCTACCTACTATTCCTGACCCGGAGTCTGACTACCGTCGTGCTGCCAGTCCCACTGTCACGCGTCTCCTCGCTACTGTTGTCACTGACCCTACCTTTGAGTCCTCTGCTGCGTCTGCTCTGGTCGCTGAGTTGGTTGACTTTGCTGCCCGCTGTCGTCTAGACTACGCCACTAGCCTTGTTGCTGAGTCTGAGTCTGTCTGTCCTCCGTCCGTCGGGGGTGAGTGTGCTCTTGGCACGGACGTCCTTGAGGACAGACAGGAGGAGTTCCAGTGCTTTGCTGCTGCTTTGCCCCGTCTCGTGTCCATGCTAGTTGCCCCTGAGGGAGACCCGGATGCACCAGACATCCCGACCCCGCGCTCTTACGCTGAGGCGATGGCGGGTCCCTACTCCTCTCAGTGGCAGACAGCCATGGACGCAGAGATGGCTTCCTAGAAGTCCACAGGCACCTACGTCGACAAGGTTCCCCCACCTGGGGCGAACATCGTCAGTGGCATGTGGATTTTCAGGGTGAAGCGGCCGCCGGGTAATCCTCCTGTCTTCAAGGCGCGCTACGTTGCTCGAGGCTTCAGTCAGCGAGAGGGAGTAGACTTCTTCCAGACCTTCTCCCCCACCCCGAAGATGACCACTCTTCGGGTGCTGCTACACATAGCCGCTCAGCGCGACTACGAGCTTCACTCACTTGACTTCAGCACTGCTTTCTTAGAGGGCAGCCTGCACGAGGAGATCTGGCTACGTCGCCCACCTGGCTTCACTGGGTCGGTTCCTCCTGGTACCCAGTGGAGGCTCCAGCGGCCGGTCTACGGTCTCCGCCAGGCACCACGTGAGTGGCACGACACACTGAGGACGACACTTGCGGCTCTTGGGTTCGCTCCCTCTACTGCTGACCCGTCACTGTTTCTACGCACTGACACCTCGCTGCCGCCGTTCTACATCCTCGTGTACGTCGACGACTTGGTCTTTGCCACTGCTGACACCGCGGCACTCGCCCACGTGAAGTCGGAGCTGCAGAGGAGACACACGTGCACAGACCTGGGTGAACTGACGAGCTATCTTGGCTTGCGGATCACCCGGGACAGAGCACGGCGCACCATCACCTTGACTCAGTCACACATGGTGCAGCAGATCCTCCAGCGCTTCCGCTTCACGTACTCCTCGCCTCAGTCCACTCCTCTGCCTACCGGTCACTCACTCTCAGCTCTGCCTTCGGATGAGTCCGTAGAGCCGAGTGGCCCGTATCCAGAGCTTGTGGGCTGCCTCATGTACCTGATGACCTGCACTCGACCTGACCTGGCATACCCTCTTAGCATCCTTGCATGCTATGTCGCTCCTGGCCGTCACAGGAAGGAGCACATGGATGCCGCTAAGAGGGTGTTGCGCTACTTGTGCAGTACGTCGGGCATGGGGCTAGTGCTTGGAGGGCGGGACCGAGTTGTACTCACAGGACACTCAGATGCTTCTTGGGCGGACGATCAGGCTACTCAGCGGTCGTCTCAGGGTTACACCTTCAGCCTTGGCTCTGGCTCAGTTTCTTGGCGTTCTACACACTCTTCTTCTGTTCTCAGCTCCAGTTGTGAGGCTGAGACCTACGCCACAGCCATGGCTGCCCAGGAGCTACGCTGGCTGACCTACCTGCTGACCGACCTCGGAGAGCGGCCTCGTTCTCCTCCAGTGCTGTACGTCGACAACAAGGCTGCCATTGCCTTGTGTGAGGAGCACAGACTGGAGCACAGAACGAAGCACATCGCCCTGCGGTACTTCCTTGCTCGAGAGCTGCAGCAGCGCGGTCAGCTTTGTCTGCGTTACGTGGCCACTGAGGCCAACACTGCTGATGTGTTCACCAAGGCGCTTCAGCCTTGTGACCATCAGCGCTTCTGCACTCTGCTAGGCCTTGTGCCTACTGGACCTCACTTGCTTACTTCTTGACCCTGCTTGTACTGTGATCACTATATATATATACCTGCATGTTTACTCTTGCTAGGTTGTGATCACTGTATCTCTTGCTTTGTTATAAACCTGCATGTGAACTGGCCTTGTGGCCACCTGCTTGTGCTCAGACTGTGTGGTGTCCTTGAGATCCACCCTGAGCTTTGTCTTGCTTGCTTTTCTGCTTGACTGGTCTTGTGACCACTGTTAGGTTTGGCTATCCCCCCTACTTCACCTATGGGGGTGTGTCAAATTATATGTTTCATATTATTTAGTTCTAGGTTGTGTAGGGGTGATTCTTAGAGGGTACAACAATTCTCTCGATACTCTTGTACCCCCTCCCCTAACCTAATCGACATACTCTCCTCTCTAGTCTTGACATTATTTACCCATATGGTTGGTACCAAAAGTAAGTGCGTTACTTACCCATACGGTTGGTACTAAGAGTAAGTGTATTGCTTACCAGTGTGGTTGGTACCAAGAGTAGGTGTGTTACTTACCCATATGGTTAGTACAAAGAGTTATTACGTTACTTACCCATACGGTTGGTATCAAGAGTAAGTCTGTTACCTACCCGTGTCGTTGGTACTAAGAGTAAGTGCGTTACTTATTCATATGGTGGGTATTCGAACAGGTGCGTTACTTATTGTCCATACAGTTGGTACCAAGAGCAAGTGCGTTATTTATTCGTATGGTTGGTACTAAGATTAATTGCATTACTTATCCATATGGTTGGTACCAAAAGTAAGTGTGAAAATTACCATATGGTTGGTACCTTGAGTAAGTGCCTTACCAATCCATACAGTTCGTACCAAGAGTAAGTGCAGGGTGTGCAAACTGAAAAAGTCCATCTACGGCTTGAAGCAGGGGCCACGCTGGCAGCTGTTTTAGAGAAGATGGGATTCAGGACCAGCAGCTGTGATGAGAGCCTCTTTCTCAAAGGGGAAGGGTAGGAGCTGGTGCTATTTCTGGTTTACGTGGATGACACTCTTCTCTTCAGCAGCAGCTTGGAGGAGATCAAGAAAGTTCAGCAGCGTTTACGTGGATGACATCCTTTCGGTTGGGACGACAACTCCCTTTCCCATAGGACAGCACCTCCTTCCCCCTTCCCGTCACTCCTCTTGCCCCCCTGGCTGCCTCTTCCCCTCCCCCTTGGACTTACCTCCCATTCGGCTGGGTCGACAGCTCCCTTCCCCCTAGGACAGCACCTCCTCTCCCCCTCCCCGTCACTCCCCTTGCCCCCATTGCCCCCCTGGCCGCCTCTTCCCCTCCCCCATGCACTCACCTCCCTTTCGGTTGGGACGACAGCTCCCTTCCCCCTAGGACAGCACCTCCTTTCCCCTAGAATGTACGACATTTCTCTTCACCATCTGGAACATCATGCTCTCCCCCACCATTCCCCCTCCCCATAACAATCATTCAACCCGCGCCTCTTCCGCCCATGCCCTAATCCCCTTCCGCCCATCCCTCACCTCATTGTGCCATAGCTGCTCGCGTTCTGCCCTTACTACTAGCATTCCCACTACCCCTTATCTCATTTGGCCCTTACCGAATCCCATTCCGTTATAACTACTCGCATTTCGCCAATCCATAATATCATTCCGCTCTTCATACGATGGACGTTCGGCCCATCATAATGTCATTCCGCACTTCGCACTCTCACTCCGCCCTACGTACTATCATTCCGCCCTTGTTCCTCGCATTTCGCCCGTACTCCTCTCTTTCCGCCCCTCTTCCTCTAATCGCGCCGTTCATTCTCTCCCTAAACCATTCTTCCTAACACACCGCCCGTGCTGATTGTTTTTGACGTTCCCAATCAAATTCCGCACCTCCTAATGTCATTCCGCACCTACTAAACTCATTCTGCACATCTCAACTCTCATTCAGCCCGTCATAGTGAGAGTCAGCCCTTCTTGTGGCTTATTCCGCGCTTACCACTCTCATTCCGCCTAGATCTCGGCAGCTATTCTCATACCACTCATACCAGGTGGAAATAATGCTTACCTGGCTTTGGGCTGACGAATTTCCTAGTGCATGGCAACGGGAGGAAAGTTGCTGGGGTGGGCACTCATTATATGTCACTCACGAGTTGCCAGCGTCGTCGAATTGGGTCGCACAGGTCTCGATCAAGCCCTTCAGGCTCGTCTTTCACCCAAACCTGCACCCCCAGGTTTGTTTTTGCCTCTACAGTTGGTGGTGTCGCCGTGTTTTGTTTCACCAGCTCGCCTAAAATTTCGTTACTCGTCACCCAATCACTGAGGTGCATACCCAACCTAGTGTTAAACGCTAGAAAATTGGAGACGCGAGCTTTAACCCGCGCAACTCCGCCAACACTGGCCGTTTGTTCGCGTCTCACTTCCAACCCAAAACCGGGTAGCCACCGAAGGCTAGCGATAAACCTTTGGGTCCCACACCCCCCCCCAAAGTGCACCGTCGCTTTAATACCAACCGAATGGGTAAGTAACGCAATTGTTCATGGTATTACTAACCATATGGGTAAGTATCGCTCTTATTCTTGGCACCAACCATTTGAGTAAGTAACAAACTTACTGTCGATACTAAACATATGGGTAACTAATACGCTAGCCCCTTCCTATTATACATATAGTAAGTATCGCAATTACTTTTGATACCGACCATAAGGGTAGGTTACGCACTTATTTTGGTACTAACTAGATATTGTAAGTATCACGATTACTATTGGTACCATCCATAGAGGTAATTAATGCAAATATGCTTGGTACCAATTATATGAGTAAGTAATGCACCAACTCTTGGTACCAACCATATAAGAAAGTCAAACAGTTACCCTTGATATCAACCATAAAGGTACGTGACGCATTTACTTCTGGTACTAACCATATGAGTAAGCAACACTTTTATCCTTGGTACCAACCATATATGTAATTGTTGGTGTAAGGGCCTAATAAACTCAAGCTTTTAAGACTTTAATAAACCCTAAACCTCTCCTCGAGGTCACCTCCAAGGGTCCCTATGTGCCTAGTAGAAAACCAGCCCCTATCCTCAGGTCCGAGTTTGTAGAGAGAGGAGTCAAGAATGACTTAGCCAAAATAACAAGAGTACCTTGAACGCCGCGCAGCTTGCCGTGCAGACCGTCCATTATATAAAGCTGAAAATTTGCTATATCAAAGCCCGCTCCAAGAGCTTTAGAAAGAGCCAAACTGCTTCGCAAAAAGTTCTGCCATTACAAAGTTATGGCTCGGACAGCGTTTGCCTAGCGTTGAAGTGCTAGCGTACTAGCGTTGACTCGGGTAGCATTTCGCTGTCGAACCGCGTAGAAACGAAATTCCAGCAAGGAAAGAATCCGCTTGAATAGATTGTTCGAGCTAGCAAGGACCTTGGGAATCAACCTGGGAACAACCAGGGATGATCTCAAATAATTCCAAGCAACAAAACCAACCTGGCTGGACAAAATAGCAGGTGGTAGGTTGGAAAACGACCTCTGGTTATTGGGAAAACAACAACTAGGTTCAGGTTCTAAAAACAGAACATGTTTTGTCTTTGCCCAACCAACCAAATGCTGGTTCCGCTGGTTTCCCCTGGCCTCGTAGCATGCAGATACAGACAAACAATATCCAACCTTCACCTAAATTGTACCCTTACAGTAACTGCTCTGCTACATCATTCGAAACGTGTCACTAAATATGAATACAGGGCGTTTTGTACTCAGAAACTGCGAGGATATTCGAAAATACGCCCTTCCTAATACAACAATCACAAGTGCACACAGGTACGCAAGGCTATTGGCACTTGGGATTACGCCCAGATTACACCGTATACACAACTGTCGGCAATGTTGGTGCCGTATAATAAATATGTCGGTGGGAAAAATAGGAAATAAGTGAAACTAAGAGAAGGTTCTAGAAAATATAATAATAGGCCGATTGGGATAAAATAAAGACCAAAATGAAGAGGAGAACAGGAAAATTTGATAAAGGAAATTAAAATAGGACAATATAATGAAGAAAAATATTGATAAGGAAAAATATCATAATAGTATTTTAAGGGAACGCCCTCTCACACTTCCCCCCCTCAAAGCTGGGTGGTAGAAGTAACACCCTGCTTGACAAGGTAGTTCTAGAGAGGACGACGGGCGTTATCCATATCGGGCCTATTCTAAGGAATCAAGAGATCCAAGGTGCCATTGCTTCGTCGATGATGAACCAAAACTGCTTGAACTTCGTACTCAGGTTCGCCATTAACGACAACATGTGGCAATGCCTTTGCTGAAGCAGCTGGAGAAAGATGGAGCCGTTAAGGGCTTGAAGCTGAACGGACAGCCACCTGATGAAAACTGTGAAGTTTGCCTGCTTTCAAAATTGACACGTTTCCCTTTCCATAGTGTGTCGCAGGAGCAAGAAGCCGTTGGAGCTGGCCCACATGGACTTGGTTGGGCCGCTGCCGGTGCAAGGGCACAAGGGGGAGCGGTATTTTCTTACAATTGTGGATGATTGAAGCAGGCTGATGTGGGCATATTTGCTGAAGCAGAAGGACCACGCTGCCCATGATACGGGATGATTGGTCGCCGTTCGTGGAAAGCAAGCCAAGTGTGTGGTGAAGCGGATTAGGACAGACTGGGGTGGTGAGTTCCTTGGAGCTGAAATGACAGCCTGGCTCAAGAAGCAGGGCATCCAGAGGGAGATTACCACGACTTACACCCCACAGTCCAACGGTGTAGCAGAATGAACAAACCAGAGCATTCTATAGAAAGCTAGGGCGCTGCTCATAGAATCTGGGCTGGGCAATTCGATGTAACCCCATGCTGTCCGGCACGCTACTGTCGCTAGGAACAGGGTACTCACCAAGGTTGGGAATGACTCAAGGGTGCCGTTGGAAAGGTGGCTTGGGAGGAAGCCGCCGGTGGACATGCTGAGGGTGTTCGGTTGCATGGCAGTCGCCCACGTCCCCAAAACCTACCGCAGTAAGTTGGGGGCGAGTGCAAAATGGTGTGTGCATATGAGGCTGGCTGCTGAGAGCAA